GATATAATTCAGATGGAGACGACTCAAGTAGCAAGGTAGACAAAAATGTGGAAGTTGATTTGGGCCCAAAAGATGATCAACTATCAAAAGAAATTATTAGTAACAATGAGTGGGAAATTTGTATACGTTCAGAATTAGAAAAACTTCAAAAGGAAAGAGAATATGAAGCAAAGCGTCGCTCAGAACAGCGGGCTGCAATTAAAAAACAAAGAGAGGAACAGCGGCAAGCAATGCTAGTGATGCAAGATATTGAAATGGAGCAACTCAGGCAGGAAACTGATGAATTAAAAAAGGACAAGATAAAGCAAGAACATGAGTTCAAGGAAGAAGATAAGAAAATAAAAGAATTTGCAGCAGTGCAGAAAACTAAATGGGAGAAGAAAGCTGAAGAAAAAGCAATAGCTGACATGATGGAAGAAAATGAACTAAAGATAGAAGCTTTTATGAAGTTAGAGGAGGAAAGAGAACAAACACGGTTGTATCGACAAAAAAAGAAAGAAGAGGCAAAAACTGCATTTGAAGATATAAAGAGACAATATTAATGACAATACTTCAGTTTACAAAATGTAATTAAATTATACTAAAGCAAACTAATTAAAGTCAACTTTATGTTCAGTAGTAAACATCTTTTTTATGAATCAAGTACTGTCATTCCTTTAAGTTGAGCCATTTGTGGCATCTGCTAATTGCTCTTGAGAGTCATCTATGGGTGTTTTCATTGTGCCACCTGTACCAGGAGGGGATTCGTCACATGTACCAATAGCAGTCAACTGCTTATACATGGGTGCAGCAATACTAGCTGTATGGCTGTAGGCTTGATCAATGTTCACAACAGCCTCGTAGGCATCTTTAGAGCTAATGTCTTTTGGTGCTGAAAAATGACCTTCCAACTCTTTAAATGTAGCAACTTGGTCATTCGAATCACGGATTATCTCCTTTAAAAACTCATTCTTCATTTGATGCATTTCTGTCATACTTGCTAACCTTTTTTCTTCCATTTTAAATATCAATGCCTTACTTGATTCGGCCATTTTCTTTCTATCTTCAAACTGTTGCTGAGCTATTTCCATTTTCTTCCTGACCAGACCTGCTTGTTTGTCAGTTTCATACTTTTGCCTATCAGCTTCAGTACGTGCCAAGTCAAGTTTGTTCTGCAGCTCCATCTCAAGTTTCTTCTTCTCAGCTTCACTCTTTATTATTTCCTTTTCTTTTTCAACTACTGCTGAATCGTATTTTTCTTTAAACTGTTTCTCAAAAACAGCCTTTTCTTTATGAGTTTTCAGTGCCAGCTCTTGTTTTTCAAGTGTGGTTTTAGCAATTATCAAATCCTTGTCTTTTTGCAATACTGCCTTCTCAGTCTCCATTTTAGCCAATTCAAGCTCAGCTTTACTTTCTATCTCCCACAACTCCTTTTCATGTTGTCCTCTCATTATTTCTTTTTCATAATCAGCTTTGAGTGATAGGTTCGCTTCAATATTTTTCCTTTTCTTTTCTTCGTCAGCCTTCAAAATATCAATTTCCTTTTTATGCTCAGCTCTTAATACAGCTTCTGCTTTATCTTTTTGAGCTTGGACATCTTTTCTTTTCTGTTCTTCACCAGCCTTCAAAGCATCAATTTCCTTTCTATGCTCAGCTCTTAAAACAGCTTCTGTTTTATCTTGTTGTATTTGAACATCAAGTTTCCTCTTTTTTTCTTCATCAGCCTTTAAAGCATTCATTTCGCTTTTGTGTTGAGCCCTTAATACAGCTTCTGCCTCCTTTTTTTCAGCCTTAGCTTGTAATACTTCTGTGTGCCTTTGTTCCAGTAATTGATTCGCTTGTTCTCGTAATTGATTCGCTTGTTCTTGTAATTGATTCACTTTTACCTCGGCCTTTGCCAATGATCGATTCGCCTGTTCCAGGTCTGCTCTCTTTCTCTCTGCCTCATCAGCTTCATTCTGTTGACAGTCCGGGCATTTTGCTATCTTTGTTGTATAAAACAGGCTGGCTTTTCCCGAAGTGTAAGTAGTATGACATGTAAGGCACTCGTATGTTGGCATGATAAAGTTAAATCGCCGACGGTCTAAACTTAACTAATGTCACGCTACGCGTACAGTGCATTTTATATCTATGATTTAATATACTGCGCTAGCCTATTGTATTATTAGATAATGAAGAATCCCGCCCACAAAGAGAAGCAAGTCGTACTGAAAATTGTTCTTGCCATTGTTTTCTTTGTAGCATGGGTAATACTTTTGGCAGAAAAAAACCTACCACCAGAAAGGGACAGTTTAATTCGGACCCTGAGTCTGGGACGGGCCGCCATAGTAGACCGAATACTAATCGACTTGAAAGGAGTCAAGCAAGGAGTTTTGTGGCAGAGAGAGTGGCTCATTTCGAAAATAAAACACAAAATGAAACAAGAAAAGCCCAAGTAATGCCTATACCTAGAAGCCAAGTGGCTGACCCAGTGTGTAACCATGGCTCTGTTGAAATACCAGAAATTAGTTTTACAGTAGCAGAAATTAAAACTAAGTATGAAGCAGAAATGAAAAGGCACAATGCGGAAGAACCATCATGGAAAGCTGATTTTAGCGGAAAGAGAAAAAATGCAGAGTGGCGTAACACAAAGGATGGTCAAGAAGTCATGATTGAACAACAACTATATGATAAAGATTTAGTTGAGAGATATGAAGAAAAATTACAGTCAATTGAGAGAATTGAGGAAAAGAGGCAAGAAGTGGCAAAAGAAGCAGAAATAAGAAGATTGGACCTATATTCTTCAGCTTATTCAGCTTCAGTAAATCCAAAAGAATTGAACTATGATCCTAGTGT